AAGATCCGTCCCCCCCCCCCCCCCCCCTTACTCGGGAGCGTCAGAGCGACCCCGACAGCGGATCGCAGGAATCGCCCCCAAATCGGAAACGTTCGGATCAAAGCTCCACCCTTGAGCTGCGCAGCTCACCTGGGCGCCCAGATCCGGAGAAGGGTTCGTGGCCTGGACCCCGGCGATGCCACAGGCGCTGGATTCCCTCGGGCCTCGAGTGACACTGTCTGTAGTGACCAGCACGAGTTCTCTGCTGGGGTCTGCTCGAAAGCGAAAGGGGAAGCGAGACGGGGCGAGCTCCCTTCTGCCCAGGGACGCTAGGCCCAGGGGGAGCGGCCCACAGCAGCCCAAGGGGGTGTCTCTGGGCTGGCAGCCTGCTCCCAGCTAGTTCGGAATAGGAAGCCTAATCCGAACTAGCTAGTCCGTGCCGCGTGTAGCCGCGTGTAGCCGCGTGTAGCCGCGCGGCACGGGGTCCGAACTAGCGGACATTTAAAAATGGCGCCAGCCGGCATCATGCTAATGAAGCCCGGGAAATTCAAATCCCGGGCTTCATTTGCAACTCCGAATGACTACATTACCCCCCTAGTTCGAACTAGGGGGGTAGTGTAGACAGACCCTCTCTCTCTCTTCCTCCACCCGCCCCACCTGCCCCCCCCACACAAACACAACTACCTCGCTACGCATAGTCTCCTGACCCTGCCCTGTGTAAACTGATCCATGGTTACCTAACGTTTGTAATCACTTTCCATTTAGATTTAATATTGTAACCACTCAGAAATCAATCACGCTCATTGGTAAGCTGGGTGCTTCTCTCTCTCTCTTTCTCTTTCGCTCACTCTTCCTCAGGGGGTGTTTTGGGTTCCCCATTCGCTCTGCAACAAGGCTTCTTGTCCCCAAGTGAACGATCCCTGGAGGGCCCACAGTCCTGTGAGTTTGCTCATCGTGTGGTTTCCCGGTGAATGACTGTGGTGTGGGAGTGGGGATGGGGGTGTTGAACCCCCTGAGGATGGCAGCTTAAAGTGCTGTTTCATCCAGCCCACGGAGTCCAAAGGCCCACGAGGGAGCAGTGTGGCGTTGCTGTGAACCCAGCCTGCTGAGTCCAGGGACATGGGAGGGGTCAGCGTGTGGGTGCTGAGTCCCCAGTCCTCCCAGACGGGCTGTTAGTGGGGTGAGCGTCCGGGTGTTGCTAAGGAGGGAAGACCCCGTCCTGAGGACCCTGCTTCCTGCAGGGGCGCGTGTTCGTTACTATTGGCTGTGGAGGAGCCAAGTACGGCCGAGTTATTTCCTGCTTCCCACGCCGTCAGCCCTGGCTGACGTGACTGGGCGGCAGGTTTAACGCCAGGAACAGGAGCGGCTCCTTCGCACGCTGCCCTGGGGAACGCCTCGCCAACGGCGTAGCTGGGTGCAAAAAGAAAGAGCGACATTTATGGAGTACAGGTCCAGCGCTGGCTACGAGCCAACGAGAGAAGCCCACGCCCTGGGAGTCCGTCCACTTCCGACTGACACGCTGGGAGCCGACGCAGGGCAGGAGTAAGTCAGGAGGCGCCCTGTTCTTATGTTCGTAGTGTAGGGCCCGTACCCAGATCCCTGAGGGATCAGCCCCGAAACAGCAGCGGTGGCACTCGGAGCAGCTCCCCTTCCAAGAGCAATCGGCTCAGGCTCTCGGCACACTCAGGCCTGCGGGCGTTGCTGGAAGCTCACAGGTCTTCTCCCATCTCCACCTCCCCTGCGCTCAGACCAGGCAGGATTTCACTGCTGGCGACCAGAGGGGGGAGATTTGGTGGCATCCCAATAGACGGGGCTCACAGTGACGTCAGGAGAGTGGTGAAGAGAAGTATGTAGGGGCTGAAGGAGGATCTGGGGGCAGTTAGCCCTGATTTGCAGTTCCCCGTGGTGTTGGCTTGGCTCCCGGAGCCAACGTACCCCCATATCCATTCTCTGTAGGTCACCGTCCGGATGTAGACACTGGGCCGGTTGGGCCGGCCACAGCCATCCCCCCAGCTTACGACTCCCATCAGGAGCCAGGTCCCATTGTAGTCACAGGCCAGCGGCCCCCCAGAGTCACCCTGGGGGAGCAGAGAAATTGGGATTAGTGACGCCCCCTCACCCTAATTAGACAGTTTGGCCCTTTGCAGATCTAGCCACGTGGCCCCTCCCATGGCACCTGCCACATATTTTGCCACACCCACGTGAGAAGTGCAAAGAGCCTGGTGTACCTCCCACAGTACCACATGCACACCTTTCCCTGAAGGGTGCGTTGGTGGCAGCGGTGGGATCCCTAATACCTTCACAGCAGGAAGTGTGGCTGTGTTCTTCCTCTCCTGCTGGGGACAGGCTAGCAAAGCTCCCCAGAGCTGTGGAGCGGGAAGTGGACAGCCTCCATAAAGATGCCTGGGGTGGTTTTGGGCTCTTTGCTGACTCGGGATATCCCCGTTCTCTCTCTTTTCAGAGGGAGATCTAGCTTTTTTAATGGCAGCAGAAGAGTCTATGCTTTCCTGGCACTGGGGTGTAGGCGCGGGGCTGTGACTCCACATCTAAAAGCCAGAGCTGCTCCTTGTGAAACTCCACAGCCGCAGCCCCGAGCCCGGCTCACCTGGCAGGAGTCCCT